ATCCCATCCCATCCCATGGATCCCATCCCATCCCAGGCTCCAGCAGCAGTGCTGTCCTGTGCCTGCCAAGCTGCTTCCAGAGCCTCTCCCACCACGGTGGGCTGGAGCTGATGCTGCTCACCACCACTGACACATCTCCATCCTTGCATGCAAATGGCTTTGTCCACAGGCTTGCCCAGGAACCTGGCTCACCAGGAGGGCTGGGGATGCAGTGTGGGATGGAGAGGAACAGGGACACAAGGCTTTTCCTGCTTTAGGGCCCTTTTACCAGACTGGCAGAGCAGTGGTTTATGGCAAACCGTGTCCCTTGGTTTTCTGGTGGCTGTAATACAGTGGGGGTTTCTATGGGTGCTCTCTGGGTCAAGCTGCCCCACTGGAGCACCAGCCAGTGGTCCTTAGCCTGGGTCAGCTACAAGGATCCTTCCCCCAGAGCTGGCACACTCTGTGCTGGCATCACCCGTGTCAGCCAGGATGTGCACCCTGACTGCTGCACTGGGATGTGGGGCCACAGGACCACAGAAGGGTTGGAGGGCACCTGAGAGACCACCTTGCTCCAGCCCAGGCCATGGGCAGGGCCACCTCCACCAGACCAGGGTGCTCCAAGCCCCATCAAATCTCTGAGTGAGGCAGAAGAGTTTGGTGTCTGCCCTAGATCTCCCTCCTGATTCCAAGGAAAAAACCTCTCCCTAAACCTCTGTCTCTTGGAAAACTCCTTCCAGGGAACACACATTGCTGAATGAGCAGGCAAATCCCCAACATTCCAAATTAAAAATACCATTACAACCCACAGCCATACATCCTTAACCCTGCATTATTTCACCATCAGGTGAAATAATGTCCTGGAGCAGTTCAGCAGAACATGGCCAGAGCTCCTTCCAGCAGGGATACCCCAGCACAGCACACAGGGTTGTTTGCCAGGGATAGGATTGGTAATGGACCATGTAATGAGCCACCCTGCAGCTACACTCAGGATTTTCCAACAAATGCAAGTGTGAGTGAAGGTTACTGTGCTGGAGAGACACAAAAATGGACCTTGTGGCCACAGTCAAGAAGCTGGGCAAATCCAGATGTGGGGCTTTTAACCTCCCACAGGGTCCCTTCATCAAAGAAATTCGATTAACACCATCACGAAAGTCTGTCCTGCTGCCCTTTCTGATCAACTCTAATGTATTTGTAATCAAACAATTATCAGGTTAGGGTTCTTGAACAAAAAGAATTAAAATATAAAAAGCGTAATCAATATTTATCAGTCTGTTGTGCTGTTCAGCTCTGAAGGCAAGGAACAAAATCCAATTTCTGCTCAGCTGGTCCTAGGAAATGACATTTTGCAGCTTGAGAAAACGAGGTTCTAGTTTCTAAGAATTTATCCACTGGTGGGTTCCAAATAACTGTGTTATCAATCATTCTGCTCCTGGGAATGAGTGTATCAACAGCTGGATTGAGGGAGAAACCTCCTCTCCTCCCCTTGGCAGGGTGGTGAGCCTGTGCCTGTCATTGATTGGGCATTCCCAACAGCAACAAGGCAGAGATTTCTCCTGGTACATCTCTGTCAGGTGCCTCCAATATGTCATAATATTTTCCTCCAATTAAGAAAACTCCCAAACTACAGCGATTCTGTGTGTGCTGCTGAACTGTCTAGATTTTTTGCCACCTGTGACACGAGTTCTCTGAGGAAGAGGGAGCATCCTGAGGCAAGGACACCTTCCCTCCACACCAGCATCAGGGGAGCCACCAACAAGCCCCCCAACAAGCCAAAGCACCCACTGTGAGCCTGCCAGGCAGCGGGGAACTGCAGGCATGCAAGTAAAGTGCCAACACCTGCATCATACAGACCATGGGAATGCTCCAGCTAGGCTGAAAGCACAGGGGGACGCCTGGAAAAAAGATGTGGTCCTGAGAGGGTTGATGTTCGTGTAGACCCATGGATCCACCAAACAGGAGCTCCAAGGCTGGCAGCTCCACACACTCTGAGTGGAGAAGGCAGGACCACCTACCCTGCAGCCCCCCAGGCTTTATTGACTTCCCTTGCCATTTAAAAAATGCCTTAACTGCAGCTTAATGCCTTTGCCTTTGAAGTGCTGAATCCCCATTACAAAGAGTTTTCCAGCCATGCCCTGCTCTTGATGCTTGCTGTGGCACACAAGGACACTTCTGGGTGCTGCTCAGCCTTCTCAGTTTTTATTCTGAAACCATTGCTGGCGTTCTTTTGTACCCAGGAATGAGCATGCCTCCATGTCCTCACACAGCTGTTTTTCTCAGGAAATCCCTTGGCTTTCCCAGCTGGGATTCACTCATTTTCAGTACAAGCCACTTTGCTGGAAGCCATAATTAGGAGAAATCTGTGTGAGGGCCTGGCTGCATGCAGGTGGTGCAGGCAGGGAGATGGGGAGGGGGATAACAGCCCCTCTGCAGAATCAGGGCCAGTCCTTGAGAGCCTTTGTCTGCATTTCTCTTACACTTGAGATCAGTTCTGGGTAATGTCTGTCCTTGGAGGTAAGGTTGGAAAGCCCACACCTGGAATTTCTGCATCCAGCTGGGCTCTCACAGGTGTAGCAGAAGGCAGAGAGCTGCACCAAACACCTCACTCTGAGACAAACTGTCCAGCAGCAAACTGACCATCAACAAAGAGTGCGTTAAAGCTCTACACTACAAAAATACAAGAATTTTATGACTCCCTCCCCATTAACAGGCTAACCTATATTCAAATAGGAGAATTAATGCCAGAATGGGTAACCAGGTGAAACAACTCCAGTGCCAGGAGCTGCACCTCAATACTGTGTCTGGGGCCACCATTGGCTCTTCCTGCCCAGAAGAGCCCAGTGCCTTCAAGAATGTTCCCCTGTGAGCTTTTCTTTCCCCTCAGGCTGTGACCAGTTTCTCTTGTAACCTCCTCCTGGATATAAACTCAAGTGAAACTTGTTTAGGGCTCCACAGGGGTCTGGTTTTCCACACCACAGTTCATCCTCTGAGCTCCTCAATAACGTTCTGGCTGCTGGGCCAGGAGTGAGAGTTGAGCACCAGCCTGGCCAGCACAGCCACCAGAGCCCTCTGGAAGTCCCAAGGACAGTGTGCACTCATCTCCTGTGCAGGGATTAGTCACCTCCCTTGCCCACACTAAAGAAATCTCCATGTGCCATGGAGGATTTTGATTCCCTGCCCAGTGTAGGCATTTCTGCCTGGGAAATCCCAGCCTGGAATATGGGAGTCATCATTCCTGGCATTTCAGGTTTTGGCAGAAGGTAAGATTGATGGTGCTGGATGAGCACCCTGCTCACTCTCCGTCTTCTTTCATGGGAGCTTTCAAATGAGTCACTGTCCTCCAAACCAGCATCCTTCCTCTGCCCACGAGGGTTTCTGAGTGTATGAATTTGCACTTGTCTTCCTGAGAGCCCACTGCTGACACAAAATCAGCTCCCCAAGCAGACCTGACCACTCAGAGCATCTGACTTGTCCTAATTTCAGTAACACTTAGTGTATGAAAACTGTATCCTCAGCAGCTGATGAGCGTGAGCAGGTCCTTGGAGGTCCCACAGGGAGTCTGGTGCTCTTCTGACTACAAGGGCTCTGCAGCATCTCTTCCATCTTTTATTGTACCCCAGTGCTAGGAGTCTCCCCTCTCTGCCATCCATCATATCACCCAAGCAAATGCCATCTTATTTTGTTGGCCTAACTTCACAGAATCACAGATGGACTGGGTTGGGAAGGACCTTAAATCCCATCCAGTTCCACTCCCTGCCATGGGACAGCTTCCATAACCCAGGTTGCTCTGAGTCCAACCTGGCCTTGGGCACTTCTAGGGCTGGGGCAGCCACAGCTTCTCTGGGCACTCCCTTCCCCAACACCCCCAACATCCAGGTACTGACATGCATAAACCATTCCAGGGAGTTTTTCTAGCCCTAGACATGTAAAACATTTCAGTTTACCAGCTGCCATTTAATGTGCTGCCTGGTTACTGCTGGAGCCAGCATCTTTGCATCCCCACAGTAGGATATGGACCCATCAGGCTGCTCTTCTCCAGAGCTATGAAGCTTTGACTGGACACCTTTTTTAATTTTCAGTATCAGAGCAGAGTCTTTGCCAGCTTCGTCTAAAACCAACATGCAGCATTTATTTTCTCCCTGACATACATCCATATAAACACACACACACATGCACACTCCCTAATAGTCCTTAATGCCACCAAACATAATTTTCATTGACTGCTCTTCCAGATTAGCCTTCCAGGTCTCTGCATTATGTAACAGTTAATTCATTGCTTTTGTTACCAAATCCCTTCTTTGCCTGTTTGGTGTTATTATTTCTGATTTTATCTTCCTTAACAATGATAGATTCTTAGCTAAGAATATCTTCAATGGCTGCAGAGCTGTGTGCATGCTGTGGAGGAGACAGCATCTATCAAAGTTTTCTTAAG